TAAGTTGTTAAATGTTGAGAACACCCCACTGTAAAAATCAAATTAAACCAACACCAAACCACTTCTGCTTATTAACTAGAAAAATAAGAACAGACCTTCAGAAATTTCTTTGTCCAGAGACTTTAGCTCTTCTTCAATTTCAGTTTTAACTTTTAATAAAATTTCTTCATCCAGAGATTGTGAAGCTGTATCTAGTTGAACCCCTGAAAGCAACAAAAAAATGTTATTACTGAAAGAGGAAGAGATAAACCTTTAGAATACAACAGCACTTTAATTGTTAAGCCAAAAAAATGCAAACTCAAAATTCATTATCAAAATTAGGCAATGTTTTCTGCAATAATTTAAAACAACAAAACAAAACAAAAACAACCTTTAGTAGAAATATTTGGGCCTTTTGTTTTTTTTTTTTTTTTTTTTTTTTATGAGACAAAGTATCGTTTTGTAACCAGGCTGGGGTGCAGTGGTGCAATCTTGGCTCACTGCAACCTCTGCCTCCTGGGTTCAAGTGATTTTCCTGCCTCAGCCTCCCTAATAGCTGGGACTACAGGCACGTGCCACCATGCCCAGCTAATTTTTGTGTTTTTTAGTAGAGACAGGGTTTCATCATGTTGGACAGGATGGTCTTGATCTCTTGACCTTGTGATCCGCCCGCCTCGCCTCCTAAAGTGCTGGGATTACAGGCGTGAGACATGGCGCCTGGGCCAGGCCTATCTATTGAGAATGAATAAGGCTCCACCTTTCCAGATGTTTCTCTCAGAAACAGGGAAATGGAGCTGAAACTTCAGAAATACAACTCAAGAGGAGATTGGGAAAGCTGTATCAATAAGTGCCAGTCCTCTTTTCATAAACAATGTATCCTTTAAAAAATAAAGAATGAAGATGGAATATGATAAAAAACCAAAAGAATTCTTGTTATTAATATTGTAGCAGTGAGATAGCATGGGAAGAAATGCCAGCTATAAGTGAAGGGGAGGAAGGCAGCAAATCACACTGTCATGTGTGTACCTATGCAACAATCTTGCATGTTCTTCACATGTACCTCAAAACCTAAAATGCAATAAAAAAAAAAAAAAGAAAAAAAAATATTGTAGTGGTGGTGGGGGATGTCCATTCCTGCCAAACTTCAAATTATATAGATCCCTAACTGTACCTCACTTTTGGACACATTTTTAAATGATATACTTCTAGCATTTTACACATGCTTTGTAATTTTCTTTCTTTTCTTTCCCTAACCCCACCCACATTTGAACAGTTAGTTGACTGCTACTTAAGTCCACAAAGCACACAACCGGGGCTAAAATTCCACCACTAAGGGCATAACGATTTCTTTGTACCAATCACATTAGATTTATGAGAGTTATGCTCATCAGCAGTCTCTCATGCTTATTACTGGTTAATTCCATTTTGCTACTAACTTTTCTAAATGCAGCAAGACAGTTACATATCTTTGCAAGTATTAAGGTACAAAAAAAGACACTGTTGAAGCCTGAAAGCAGTACCTCTGTCATTTGTCCGTCCAATTTCAGGCAAGTTAGTTTTAGTGATAACAACCCTTTGAGACAGCTATTATTATTACCCTCAGTTTGCAGGTGAAAAACCTAAGGCACAGGGAAGAGACCTGACAAAGGACACAATGACAGCTCAGATACAAACCCAGGCAATCAACTTTCAGGGTCTGGGCCCCAACCACTGCACAATGTCACTCTTGTCATTCTTGCAAGCATGGGCTGTATTAATCACCCCAAAGTCCAGGCCTGTCTCTATGACAATGACAACAGCATAGCCGTTCTTGTTCTTTCTGAGATTTCAGGCTCTTACAGAATGTGAATAAAATAATAGCCCCTCCTCCCAGAATGTTTGGCAAGCAATTTTAGGACATTCATGGAGCCTTTCAGGACCTCTGTAAGTCTCGTTTTAAACACTTTACTAATTACCACCGAATTCTCCTTCTTTCCCTCTCCCTGACTCCACATAACCACACCCACTGCATAATGCAGTCCTCTTTCATTTGGTTAATGTACTACAGTTTGGTACTATTGGTTAACCTGACTTAATGAGCAGTGGCCAATGATCACCAACCACTAAAAGGCTCCAGGAGACAGATAAAGAAGAGCAATCTCGAGAAATGAAGGTGAGACAGAGTAGAGAATGGGGCTTGGCCCCACCCCACTAATGTGTTTCTCCATACATTCTCAATGACCACCAAGCCTTACAGCACCACCCCAACTGGCACCATACCTGCTGACAGACCTTGCAGGTATTGTATGAAGAAACCATAGGCAGCACCCTGCCATAAATCTTACTCAAAGAAGTTAGCTCTACCATTCACATGAGCTCAAGGAGAACGACCAATCCTAATCTCTAGTCTCATTATAATACAAAATCACCACCCAGGAAGGGGCTTTTCTGCCACTTTCTGATCATGTGTTAGCATGATTCCTTACTGTGTCTGCACACCCCACATTCCACCCACACATGTGATGCTCACCTACCTCGTGAATCATGCACTCCCCTCGGAAAGTCAGATGGAGAAACCTCCCTCCCTTAGGTCCAACCTTTCTGGGCATGTCTTTTTTTTTTTTTTTTTTTTTTTGAGATGAGGTTTTGCTCTTGTTGCCCAGGCTGCAGTACAATGGCGCGATCTCGGCTCACTGTAACCTCTGTCCCCATCAGATTCAAGTGATTCTCCTGCCTCAGCCACTTGAGTAGCTGGGATTACAGGCGACCACCACACGCCCAGCTAATTTTTTGTATTTTTGGTAGAGATGAGGTTCCACCATGTTGGCCAGGCTGGTCTCAAACTCCAGAACTCAGGTGATGCACCCACCTCGGCCTCCCAAAGTGCTGGGATTACAGCCACTGCACCCAGCCCATAAGTTTTCATATATCCTGGTCTGGGAAACTTGCTTGGCCTTGTATCAATTTCTATTACACAGGAGCCTAAGAACTTGTGGTTGGTAATAGGTGGAAAAACAAACAAATGAAGGATTTGTATCCAGAAACTAGAACATAAACGAGATCAAAATGTTTCTCCTGAAGGTTAAAAGTGGGCAACTTTGGGGGTAAAACAGCATAGTTCCTTTTACAGCTTTAAAAGCTTACGTAAAAAGCTTAAGTTCTCCCCACACTGCAAAAATATTCTGTCTTGAATAACTTTTTTTCTTCTAATTTCAGAGGATTTCAGTACTACAGAGCAAAGATTTCCATTTGAACCAAAAATTTCGGATAAAAAGAGCCAAACTGGCTGGGCACGGTGGCTCACACCTGTAATCCCAGCACTTTAGGAGGCCAAGGCAGGTGGATCACCTAAGGTCAGGAGTTCAAGACCAGCCTGGCCAACATGGTGAAATCCCATCTCTACCAAAAAAAACAAAAATTTGCTGGGCATGGTGGCGGGCACCTGTAACCCCAGCTACTCAGGGGGCTCAGGTGAGAGAACTGGTTGAACCTGGGAGGCAGAAGTTGGAGTGAGCCGAGATCGCACATTGCACTCCAGCCTGGGCGACAAGAGCGAAACTCCATCTCAAAAAAATAAATAAATAAATAAGAGCCAAACCAATTGACATATGCAGCAGAATCCACATTCCTGGGACATGGGCCAGATTCACAATCACATCAGTAATCCTAGCTTGGTTTTTAGCCAGAGGCATTCAAGGAAGCCAAGATAATTCAGAGCCATCCTAGGAATCTGGCTCATCCCTGGGACTTAAATTCAGGCTTACCTGAACACCCAGAGGATGCTGAATTGTATAGTTAGTGACTAACCTTTAGTTAAAGGAGAGTGATTTTTCATTTCCCTAGAGATTGAAGATAAATAACTTGTAGGGACAATCAAGTCCCCACCTGGGTGTAGGGGAATCAAGTAGGTCCTGCGCATCCACACAGCACGAAAATGAGGTAAGATTTGTCTAGCACGTGAAACTATTTATAGTCTGGGGAAGTTCGGGAAGGGCAGGACAACAGCAAGCATTTACAAAGCACCTGTTATTTAACAGGCACAGCAGTAAACATTTCCTGTGTTATTTCATTTAATTTCTAAGTCAATGTTATGAGGGATGAAATAATAGTTCCATTTGAAGATGAGAAACCTGAAGCTTGGGTAGGTTCTACCACTACTATAAAAAAGTTATACCTGGAACTCTGGCGAATCCAACTACAAAATCATTAATCCAGGCTGTGCTCGCGCCATCTTCTGGTTGGGTGGCTACGAACCAAAGATCTCAGACACATTTTTGACATGATTAACTAGTAACAGAGAGCAGAAAGGTTGTCTAGATCAGTGATACTGTCCTCTGACAGGGACATTCATGTCCCCTTATTTAATCTTCACTTTAATTGGGTATGGTGGCTCACGCCTGTAATCTCAGCATTTTGGGAGGCCAAGGCAGGAGGATTGTTTGAGCTCAGGCGTTCAAGAGCAGCCTGGGAAACATAGCTAGACCTTGTTTCTACTAAAAACCAAAAAATCTAGCCAGGCACAGTGGCATGTTCCTGTCATCCCAAATACTCAGGAGCCTGAGGTGGGAAGATCGCTGGCGCCGGGGAGGTTGACGCTGCTGTGAGCCATGGTTGCACCACTGCATTTCAGCCTGAGCCTGGGCAACACAGCAAGACCCTGTCTCAAAAAAAAAAAAAAAAAAAAAAAAAAGACAAAAAGAATCTTCATTTCTATATGTTTTCTTTTTCTTTCCTTTTTTTTGGAGACAGTGTCTCACCCTGCTGCCTAGACTGGAGTGCAGTGGCATTATCATGGCTCACAGCAGCCTCGATCTCCTAGGCTCAAGCAATCTTCCCACCTCAGCCTCTCAAGTAGCTGGCACTACAGATACACACCACCATGCCCGGCTAATTTGTGTGGGTTTTTTTTTTTTTTTTTTTTTTGGTAGAGACAAAGTTTCACCATGTTGGCCAGGCTGATCTTAAACTCCTGGCCTCCAAGGATCCACCCACCTTGGCCTCTCTCATGCTGGGATCATAGGCATAAGCCACACAATCTCCCTATGCTTTCATTTTTTGCAAGCAAATCAAAGAATCCCAAATTCACAAATGGGCTTTTTAATTCTATTAAATTAATAAAATTAGGGATTCCCAGGGGCAGCCAGAGGTGTGGACTTAGCCTCCCAGACTGCTCTGGGAAGATTTTCTACCATATCTCCCTAGAGCATGAGATCCTGCTGCACCCCACGCTACTTCGGCCCCAACTTGCTCAACACGGTGAAGCAGAAGCTCGTCACCGAGGTGGAGGGGACCTATACCAGAAAGTATGCCTTTGTAATCGCTGTAACCACCACTGACAATATTGGTGCTGGTGTGATCCAGCCAGGCCGAGGATTTGTCCTTTATCCAGTTAAGCACAAGCTCATTGTTTTCCAGCCCTTTAAAGGAGAAGTCGTGGATGCTACTGTCACTCAGGTCAACAAGGTTGGACTCTTCACAGAAATTGGGCCTATGTCTTGCTTCATCTCTCGACATTCCATCCCTTCAGAGATGGAGTTTGAGCCTAACTCCAACCCACCATGCTATAAGACAATGGATGAGGATATTGTCATTCAGCAGGACGACGAGATCCACTTAAAGATTGTGGGGACTCGTGTGGACAAGAATGACATTTTTGCTATTGGCTCCCTGATGGATGATTACTTAGGGCCTGTAAGCTGAGCCTGGTGGCCTCCTACCCTTGGTCCTGCTCTAGGAAGTGTGATTGTCACACTTGCTGTGTTGTCCAGAGGTCCGGTCTAGCTGCTGTTGTGGAGGCAAGGAAGGCAGCTCATCCCTGGAAGGTTCTTCTTTTGGCTTAGCTACTGCTTTCTGATTTTTCAGTATGTGTTCTATGTAAAAAAGCCCTTGGTTCTCATGGAAGTATCTTTTTTTTTTTTTTTTTTTTAGCAGGAACAATAAATTTTAAAACGGCTGTGTAGTTGACTGCTTACTAGCCCCTCTTTTCCTTAGACTGATGCCTCTACTAGCCTCAGCCACCCAGGGGATCTGACTAACCCATTTGTCAAGGTTTAATGTTGACCTCATTGAAGTCAAGGCTCTGATGTTGGGTCTTTGGCTTCCAGCAAATGACACCATCATTAGGGGCATTCTGAGTCCTGATCTAATTCCAGAATGTTTGCCCTTCTCCTGCCCTTAAAAGTAACCAAGAGTAACTGGGAAGGAAGGGAGAGGAGACAGCAGACAGCGAGAGATGAACAAGAGGCTAGTAATGACACAGACTGTGGGATCTCAACACAGCCCTTCCCAAGGTGGGTATCTAAACAACAGTGTATCACTATTCTAAACTGAACTGAAAATGTAAAAGGGCTCAGAATCTAGTTAAGGTAACACAAAAATGTATGAAATGCCTACAGGATTAAACAAACATGCCACTTTTCCCTGACACTAATAAAAAAATTAATAAAATTAATTTAATTCTATTAATAAAAGTCAAGAAACTCGATTATTCTATCATCTGTGGGTATTTAAAATACCTTCAAAAAAGGTTAAATATTTTCTTTTTACAAAATAAAAAGGTTAAACATTTTTACATATCACAGATTCTGACTCATTTTCTACTTTTAAGCTGACAAAAATAACTTTCCTTTAAGCCACATACAACATTTTCCTTACGAGCTGAGACTAACCAAAATAAAACTCAAATCCTTTATTATTTTTTTATTTTTTATTTTTTGAGAATGGGGTCTCACTATATTGCCGAGGAAGGTCTCAAACTCCTGGACCCAAGCCATCCTCCTGCCTCTGCCTAGCTAAGTGTTAGAATCCTTAAAAGTGGAAATGTAACACAAAGGATCTCCTCAATGTCACCATTAACATATACTTTGCTTAATGACATTTCACTTATTTCTGCCTAAGGAAATACCTTTCATAGAACTACATTCATAAAATCCGAAAATGTTACATAAAACAGACTATCTCGGCCGGGCGCCATGGCTCACGTCTGTAATCCCAGCACTTTGGGAGGCCAAGAAGGGTAGATCACAAGGTCAGGAGTTCAAGACAGCCTGGCCAAGATGGTGAAACCCCGTCTCTACTAAAAATACAAAAAATTAGCTGGGCGTGGTGGTGGGCGCCTGTAATCCTGGCTACTCGGAAGGCTGAGGCAAAGAATTCCATGAGTCTGGGAGGTAGAGGTTATAGTGAGCCGAGATCAGCCCACTGCACTCCAGTCTGGACGACAGAGCAAGACTCTGACAATCTATTACACAAAATTTGAGATAACATTATTCTAGAAAGATCCTATGCCAATTTATACTAATCTTTATAAATTCTCATAAAGCATAAAAATCTACCTTTACAGGCAGGCTTCTAATAAATCTCCATTACTGTTTATAATTATAATAGGTTTTCTTTTAGAAGTACTTTGTAGTGTTGGATGACTCTGCAACAGCACTGATTAATGTAACTCCACAAGGTATCCTGATCTCCAGAATATATCATGACATTATTAAAGCAAATCAAACACAGACTGGGAAATTAATTTATGGCCAATCTCATTTCTTGCAATAAAATTATCTCTTTCCCTTCCAGCGTCCTGGAAAGCAGCCATAAAGTAGATAAGCTTTGAAGTCAGGCCTTCTAACTCATCACTTGAGCAAGGAAAATAATCTTCTCGGACCTCTCCTCTTTATTATTTTTTTATTGAGACAGAGTCTCGCTCTGTCGCCGAGCCTGGAGTGCAGTGACGTAATTTCGGCTCATTACAACCTCTGCCTCCTGGGTTCAAGCAATTCTCCCACCTCAGCTTCCTGAGTAGCTGGGATTACAGGCATGTGCCACCATCTCCGGCTAATTTTTTTATTTTTAGTAGGGACGGGGTTTCGCCATGTTGGCCAGACTCGTCTCGAACTCCTGACCTCGGGTAATCGGCGTGCCTCAGCCTCCCGAAGTGCTGGGATTACAGGCGTGAGCCACCGCAACCAGCCACATCTCCTGTCTTATATAAAATGGGAAAAAAGCACCCACCACAAAGAGTTATTGTGAAGAGATAAATGCCCAATAGATAGGTGCTCCCACTCACCAATTCTTTTCATGCTGTAAAATTTCATTATCAGATAATTATCTTTCCTGACCCCTTATCTCTGTGAACAGAAATCAGCTAATCACAGATTTCTAGTCAATGATGCTATGCTTATACAGAACCTGCTTTCCACACTGTAAAAGTTAGGAACAGCAGGACAACCTCTGTCAGTTTAGATAATGCCACATAATATAAAATAGGGCTGTTTTAACACAAACTAGGAGAAATCTTGACAGGCAGTTATTCTTGCTCTTAAATTGCTGCTAGAGAGAATGGCTTACTTAACATGTGTTGCTTAAATTTGTTGGAAATTGCAGAAAAAATTGATTGGGGAAGTTTGACTAAAAAGCTATATTCCTGAATACCAGATTTCTATGACCCATGTTTCCAAGGGTGGCTTGCCTCTAATGGACTTGCCTTGAATTTTTTTCCAGGCTAAAGTAACTCTGTCATACTCAGCGCTGTAAGAATTTTGATCAATCACTGTCATGAGCTACAGTGAATGAAATCAATCCTTCTTGTAGCTACTGACACTCCTTCAAACATATTTCAACAACAGAAACAGAAACAACTACAAGGCTGAAGAAAGTTTGGGTTAGCCCTCTAAATTCCACACAACATTTCTAACTTCACATCTGTGATTGTGCTCTTGACCTGCCCTTTATCAGAAACAGAGAACACCTAAATGTTTTAGACTCCTTGCAGAGAATACAATCTACTGGATCCATTTTTCTACAGGGTTTCCTGACATGATAGGTAGTCTCCATTCCTCTGCACTGTAGAGTTTATCCTCATATTAAGCTGGACCATCAGAAAAGTATATATGGGCCGGGTGCGGTGGCTCATGCCTGTAATCCCAGTGCTGCGGGAGGCTGGCGCAGGTAGATCACCTGAGGCCAGGAGTTGAGAGGCGGAAACCCCTCTCTATTAAAATACAAAAATTAGCTGGGCATGGGGGCAACATGACTGTAGTCCCAGCTACTTGGGAGGCTGAGGCAGGAGGCAGAGGTTGCAGTGAGCGGAGATCACTCCACTGTACTCCAGCCTGGGTGACGGAGTGAGACTGTCTCAAAAAACAAAAAAAAGAAGAGCATACATGTATAATCTAGGTCCCTAGAGAGTGTTAACTATTTAGCTGAATTGTACTTCATGCCACTTCCTTATCTTTATCCAGAATCACATTAAGAGGCAGTGTTTACTACATTTGATACTGACAACATTTTCTACTGCATTTCAGTGTCCTATGTTACAAAGCTCTAAGTGGGAAAAAAGAAATCTTTTAAAGAACTATTCTCCAACCAAAAGAAACTAGTATAGCTTCTAAATTATGGTGTGGGGGCACAGCATGGGGGAAGACTCCTAGAACTAAGTAAGCCCTCTGTTTTATAGTGTGTGTATGTATGTATGTATGTATTTGGCTTTGCCAAAACCAAATTCACAGCTCAGTGCTTGTACAACTGAAGAACATCTCACAGACTACTTACTTATCTGTAATCTGTTATTCCTACTATAGAAATGTACAATTTTCCTACTACTGATTTTTTAATTTACTATTTGGATTTTTCCATTATGCATCAATTATAAGCCACATTAAATTATATGTGTTAAGAAATTTTGTTTAAAGTATTACTATTTTCATCCAGTATGAACACACTGCCAATTTCTCACTATCTAACAAAACAAGCCAGATGTGGTACCACGTTGCAGTCCCGGCTACTTGGGAGACCTAGGCAGGAGGATCCCCTGAGCCCAGGAGTTTGAGGCCATAGTGTGCTATAATCAGGCCTGTGAACAGCCACTGTACTCTAGCCTGGGCAACATAGTGAGGACCCATTTCTAAAAAACAAAACAAAAACTCAAACATTCTATATTTTTGCTTGACATAAACTGCCTCTCTGTTTCCTGATCATTCAAATTCCGTCTACCCTTGAAAAACCAATTTAACTCTCTACTTCAAAATGTCTTCACTGACTGCTGTGTTTACAGATCACTGACCTTAAAAATTTATTCATTTAGCCTGTGCCACAAAGTTTAACGCTTAAAAATACACTATCCTATACTGTTTGATGATTTTGTGCTTTATTATCATTATTCCAACCAGATTACAAACACTTTGGGATATATTTCCTTTGTCCTAGGCTTGTGTGAAAAATGGACTAAAAAATACTCAAATGTTTGATAGCTACCACTATCCACTATGACGAAGCTTAAAGGGTTACAATGTATAGACGTGTAGGTATAGATGACAAGCTCACTATATTCTCTATGTATACATGACAACCTCACTGGGGAGAGGAGACAGTTAAAAAAACACACAATAGGCTGAGTGCGGTGGTTCATGCCTATAATCCCAGCACTTTAGGAGGCCGAGGTGGGTGGATCACTTGAAATCAGGGGTTCGAGACCAGCCTGGCCAACATGGTAAAACACCGTTTCTACTGAAAATACAAAAATTAGCCAAGCATGGTGGCGTGCGCCTGCAATCCCAGCTACTTGGGAGGCTGAGGCAGGACAATAGCTTGAACCTGGGAGGTGGAGGTTGCAGTGAGCCAAGATTGTGCCACTGTACTCCAACCCGGGCGACAGAGCAAGACTGTCTCAAAACACACACACACACACACACACACACACACCTCACAAAATAAAGAACTAAAAATAAGTTCAGAGGAATTAAAAAAATACAACATTCCCATTCTAGCAGGTGTAGCTTAAAAATACGAATAAATAAAAATACAAAGTTACCAGTATATTTTGAGGCTAGCTCAAATGACAAAAGAAAGAAATAAAATAAGAAGACATATTACATCAGACAAATATGAGAACAGACCAACTGCAGAGATAAGAAGATAAATAGAGCGTTTACTTATGGCAATGAATCATGAT